TTTAGCTATGTCATGCCCCCATGTGCCAAAGTTAGGTCTGAGAACCTTGAATGAACCAAAATGTTGCGTGGATATATTTGTCAATACCCTCATTTTAATTTTTGTATTGGACCCAATGACTTAACCAAATCTAGGATGAATTTACCATGATTTGTAATGGTCTTAACTAATTGAGGTCTTTCAAATGATACACTAAACAAAATTAGACCCTAGTGTTATCACGTGCCCCTATGTTCAAAAGCATAGTCCAAGAGCCTCAAATGAGCCAAATTGTTGCATTGATACATTTATCAATGCCTTAATATTTCAAATCAAGGTCTGAGAGTCTTGAATGAGCAAAACTCTTTCATTGCTAGACTTGTGAATGTCGTAAATTTAATTTTTGCATAGGGGCACTAACTTAGCCAATTTCATGAAGGATTAACCATGTTTCTTCATTGTGTTAATTGACTGAGGTTGGTCAGATGAGACACATAACACAGTAAGACCCTGATGCTTTACCATGCTCTCATGTGCCAAAGCAAGGCCTGAAAGTCTCAAACGAGCCAAAATGTTGAATGGATAAACTTATCAATGCTTTGAGTTTAATTTCTACATAGAGCCATTGACTTAACTGTTGAACATTCAAGGACTTGATGTTGCAAATAATGATCATGAAGAATGTTGATTTTGATGATGATCCAAGAGCTTAAAGACTTAGAGTATTGAAGATTGAAGATTGATGATTTCTGTATTGTAATAACTCTGTTTTAGTTTGATTGAGTCTGTAATTATAGAATCTAAGATAGCCGATACATAGTCTATAACTTAGAAGCTTCAAAAAGCTCAAATTTATCATTCAGACTCGGCTTTAATCGATTAAATAGGTAAATAATCGATTAAAACAGTGAGAAAACCATTTTCTGTACAAACTCACTGCTTTAATCGATTAAACAGCAAAATAATCGATTATTCCATACAGTTCCGTACAGATAATCGATTATTTCACCAAATAATTGATTAAACCAGAGAGTATTGGGTTCTGACGTATTTGGCTCTGTTTTAATCGATTATTACTCCAAATAATCGATTATTCCAGCCTGTTTCTGATTTTAAACTTCAAACAAACCCTATTTTCGAAAACCCAATTACCAAGAACCCTAGTTTCGAAATCCCCAAATCCTAAACCCTAATTTCCCTACTTAAACTCTGCTTTGGCACTCAGAAAAGCAGAACAACCTTTTCCATACAAAAGTTAAGTGTTGTGAGTGCCAAAGAACTGTTTGTTGCAAGGGAAGGGGGCTTTCTGAACCTGGTGTGGGCTAGAAGCGATAAGAATCACTAAGTGGAGTTCTTAGTGGATTGTGTGCTGTGCCGTCTCTGGGGAAAGTTGTTCATCATCTCTTATGGATTTCAAGAGAGGTGTATTCTGATCTTTATCTGTTCATTTGTAATCTGTTTGTAACAATTTGTTCTTAGTGACAGCGTTAATCCTCTTTTGAGTGATTAGCAACTGGACGTAGGGTCTTTTGATCCGAACCAGTATAAACCTACTATGTAATCTTCTCTACTCTTCTCTATTTACATTTAAGCAGTTTTTAATCGGTAAAATTTGGGGAAAATTTTGAAAACCTAATTTTTATTAAGAAACCAATTCACCCCCCTCTTGGTTTTTGTCCGACCACGCGAACATTCCGCTGCGCGATTCTAACATTAACCAATTATGTGATGGATTATTTAGGTTTTAAAATGATTTTCACCGACTAACATCGGTCAATTGAGACACTAAACATACTTACAATCTTAGTTATCCCATGTTGTCATGTGCCAAAGCAGGATATGAGAGCCTTTAGTGAACAAAAATGTAGCTTTAATAGACTTTTCAATGCCTATTTAATTTTTGCACAAGGTTATTGGCTTAATCAATTTCATGGAGGATTAATCATGTTTTTTAATAGTGTTAACCAATTGAGATTGTTCAGATGAGACACTGAACATAGTTAGAACATAGTGTTATCTAGTGACCCCATGTGCAAAAGTAAGATTTGAGAGCCTTGAATGAGTCAAAATGTTGCATGGATAGATCTTTCAATGCCTTAAATTTAATCTTCGCATAGAGCCATTGACTTAACCAATTTTGTAAAAAATAAACTAGTTTTTGAATGGTGTTAACCAACTTAGATTTATTTTATGATACACTGAACACAATTACACCTTTAGGTATCACATTGAAAAGTAAGGTTTAAGATCCTTGACTGAAGCAAAATGTTGTATAGATAGACTTATCAATACCCTCAATTTAATTTATGCATAGGGCCACTGACTTACCCAATTCTGTGAAAGATTAACCACATTTCTTATTGGTGTTAACAAACTGAGGTTGGTTCAATTAGACATTGAACTTTGTTAGACCCTGGTGCTATCCCATGCCCCCATGTGCCAAAATGTTGTATCAGTAGACTTGTCAAGGCCTTGAATTTAATTTTTGCATATGATCTTTGACTTAACCAATTTATGATTGATTAACCAGGTTTTTAAATGGTGTTAAGCAAATAAGATTTGTTTTATGAGACTTGTATGTTGGATTACATTTTGTAACTCAACTTGTCAAGCTTATTTTAGCTCAAACTTCAACCTATTTTTTTTCCATCTTTTAAAGAATAGATAAACACTTTCGGAATTGAATAGACAACAATTACACACATTTACATGCTTTAATTCATATTCAGTTTTGCCTCTTTGGATTCTCTCTTCTCACTCCTCTTTCTTTCTACTATTTTGTTTTGTCTTTCCATCTTTGTGTGAATGTAGAGTATTTCCATGAAAGCCAAAACGTTTCTTCAATCTAGAAAACAAATATCATATGAATTGTGGAATTGTGTTTTGTACCAATTGATTCACATGCTCTTAGTCTATTCCTATTTTTTTCTAATTCTTATAATCACAAAATGTGATTCTGATTTACTTTGTTATGTTTTAGAATTCAAATTAGATTTCGGTTGATGTTTGAGTTGATAATCAATTATAGATTAGGTTAAATGATTGTTTACATTAATTCGTATAAATTATTCAAATTTAGATTGATATTTCATTTGATACAATATTTTCCAATTCATATGCATCTAGATTAGTAGATTGATGTTTTAACTTTGTTTATCTAGTTAATTCAATTTTGTTTATGAGTTTACACCCTATTTCAATTCGATTTTGATTTGGTTCTTGCATTTACATTTCAACTACGTTTGAATTCTTGTGTTTTTGCATTTTAATTCTTATAATTATATTGGTTTTATACTCTTTTGATTTGATTTTGTGTTATAGTTCTTGAATGCAATTCGGTTTTAGTTAGGTATTATCCTAGGGCCCATGTGCCAAAGTAAGGTATGAGAGCCTTGAATGAACCAAATTGTTACATGGATAGACTTGTCAAATCCCTAAATTTAATTTATGTATAGGGCCATTAACTTCACGAATTTTGTGAATGATTAACTAGGTTTTTGAATGGTGTTAACCAATTGAAATTTCCTAGTTGCGACACTAAACATAGTTTTAACCTAGTGCTATCTTATGGCCCATATGCCAAAGCAAGGTTTGAGAGCCTTGCATAAGCCAAAATGTTGCATGGATAGACTTGTCAATGCGCTCATTTTAATTTTTGTATATGTTCATTGACTTAACCAACTTTGTGAAGGATTAACTAGGTTTTTTAATGTGTTAACCAACTGAGTTGGTCAAATGAGACACTAAACACATTTACACCAATAGCCATCTCATGCCCCCATGTGCCAAAACATGCTTTGAGAGCCTTTAATGACCAAAAATGTTGCATGGATATATGTGTCAATACTTTCAATTTAATTTTTACATAGGGTCACTCACTTAACCAATTTTGTAAAGAATTAACTAGACATTTGAATAATGTTAAGAATCTTAGGCTGGTTAGATGAGACACTAAACACATTTACATCCTTAGTTATCCCACGCCCCCATGTGTCAAAGTGGATATTAGAGCCTTGAATGAGCCAAAAATGTGCATGGATAGACTTGTCAATGGCCTTAACTTATTTTTTCTATAAGGTCGCTAACTTACCAATTTTGTAAAGGATTAACCACTTTTTGCTTAATGTTAACCAACTGAGGTTGGTCAGCTTAGACACAAAACATAATTAGACCTAGTGCTATCTCATCCCCCCATGTGCCAAAGTAAGGTATAAGAGGCTTAAATGAGCCAAATTGTTAGATGGATAGACTAGTCAATTCTTTGAATTTCATTTGTACATAAGTCCACTAACTTAACCAAATTTATGAAGGATTAACCAGGTTTTTAAATTATGTTAACCAACTAAAGTTAGTTAGATGAGATATTGAAAACATCATCACCTTTAGTTATCTTATGCCCTCAATTGTGAAACACATAGTCCAAGAGCCTTTAATTAACCAAAATATTAGAGGGATAGACTTGTCAATGCTCTCAATCTAATTTTTGCACAGGTCATTGACATAACTAATTCTATGATGGATTAACCACCTTTTTTAATGGTGTTAACCAATTAAGATTGGTTAGATAAGACATAAAACAAAATTAGACCTTAGTGTTATCTTATGCCTTTATATACCAAAATAGGGTGTAAGAGCCTCAAATGAGCCAAAATATTATATGAATAGACTAGACAGTGCTTTGAATTTAATTTTTATATAGGATCATTGAGTTAACTAGATCATTGAGTTAATCAATTCTTTGAAGGAGTAACCAGATTTGTCAATGATGTTAACCAATTGAGGTTGGTTAGATGAAATAATGAACACAATTAGCCCCTAATATTATCCCATGATCCATATGTCAAAGTACAGTTTAAGAGTATTGAAAGAGTTAAAATATTTTATGAAAACACTTATCAAAGCTTTGAATTTAACTTTTACATTGACTTAACCAATTTTATGAAAAATTAAATAAGTACAGTGGTTAGCTTTGTTTCCTGAATGCACTTTTTGCTTTCTAGTGTAAGTGGTCTCATTCTCAAATGCCTACTCAACTACTTATGATGGACGGAGTAGGTTTACCCGAAGCTGCTTTTTATATTTGTCTCGCTTCCTTAGTTGACTTTCCAACTAGGGTTTTCAACTTAACATGTAAGCTTCATGTTGTCTTGGTATAGTTAGTGATCTTCAGTTGGGGTTTCTTTCCTCTTCTTCTTTTTATGTAGATTGTCATCATTATAGAAAGTTTGGTGAGGTTTACCTACAAGTTGGTATTAGTTTGATGTTGGACTTTATCAATGTGGGCTTTAAGGCTAGAGATGACAACAGTCACATCCATTTCAAGGGTTGAAGAATTTAATGTTGGCAAAATTTGGGTCATGTATATATATGATACATATTTAAATGTGTTAGGGTCATTATTTATTAAGCCAAATAATAAAGTGATCTGACTAAATTAAAATGTTTGGCTAAAGGCATATGTCATGAAAATAAAATTGTGTAGAGACCATAGAGCAATTTCTAATTTGATGAGGGGCCAAATTGGAAATACTAAAACTTAAGTAATTAACCTAATTTTGGTTATTTTAAGGGGTCATGGTCCCCTTCTGGGAGCACGTAGACAGAACGCAGTTACAGTCCCGTTCTTTTCTTTCTATCCCCATCAAGAGGGAAAATCAAGAGGGAAATACAGGTGCTCTTCAGGTGGAAGACCATAAGATCAATAGTGCTCTAAAAGAGACATCATCATTATGGCTAATTCAGGTACGCTTTCGCATTTAGTTTACAACATGTTTATGAATATGGAATTATATTTATGTTTGATCATTAGAATAAAGATCATAATTAATTATCAGTTTACCTAACATATGGTATTAGAGCAACCCATACTTAATTCATGTTTGTTTTCGGAAATTACATTTAATAAAATTTAGATTCTGTTTAATTCAGAATCTTAGGTGGAGAATAATCTCCAATTTTCATAAACCCTAAATTCAAATTTGGGGGTAAATTCCTAATTTTTAATCCTAATTTCGATTTTCTAAGCATTCGTTTCCTCTCTTTCCTCATCCACTATTTCTCTCTGTTTTCTGGTCCCGCTGGAAAACCTCTCTCGTTGGCCGGAAAACCTCTTTCGATTTCGGCCTCCCTTTTCCGCGTTTCCGGAGGAAGCTGATTTCGGTCTTCTCATTCGCACGTTTGCATTCTCCCGCAATTGGCTAATTCAGTGAATGAGAAAGTGAAGGGGTTCGCGGGGCACAGATGGGTGGTGTTTGTGTGCGCGATGTGGGACATGGCATTCGCAGGCACCTCTTACATGTTCGGGAGCATATCGCCGGTGATAAAGAGCAGCATGGGTTTCAACCAGAAGCAGGTGGCGTTGTTGAGCATGGCCAAGGATTTGGGTGACAACGTTGGTCTTCTTGCTGGCAAAATCAGCCTGTTTTCCCCCATTTGGGCTCTCTTTCTCGTTGGGATCTTCCAAAAATGTTCTCGGTTATGGCCTTGTTTAGCTTCTCGTCACGCACCGCATTCGGTCTCTACCTTTCTGGCAGTTTGAATCAGATTTAAGTGACAATAAATAAAGCCTAGGCCTGGAGCAATGTGGCCAACTGCACGAAATGGTTTTTAATTATTTGTTTACCAAGATGACGTGAGTAAAATACTTATATCTCCCTTACATGAAGCTATGGTGGAATTATGGCAGGAGTTCTTTGCTAACCCGTAGGAGTATATATATTTGATTTTATTATATAAATAAAATATTAATTTGTTTGGTAGTTTAATATTTTTGTGAGCAAATTGAGTCAAGAAGTTACCAAAGTAACATCTCTTGAATTGGGTAGTTCGTGAAAAATATTAAATGTTAGTGTTTGTGTATATTCATGCGAGTATTAGTCGGCCCAAAGGAAGATTAATATTTGGCCGAATTGCATATACACTTGTAATGATAAACATGTGATAATTATAAAGATTTGCTTTGTCGATGATAAATCAATCCAAAAACCGATTTGTTGTTGGACGTGCTTTATTGTCAATGTTTGATTATTACAACAAGATACCTCTAGCGAGTTAATATTACTCGTCCAAAGACTTGATATTGATGTTGCATTGGGTGTCTTGAGATGGGTTAAACCATTATTTGAATATATATTTTATTTATAATTATTTATTTTTATAATGTGAGCATAATTAATTTATTTATCTTGTTCTTAATTCAGCTACAATTGTTTCTGTATCTGCCAATTTAAATTCTGTTCTGATCCTCAAAAGTATGTTTCCCATTTTGGTCTGTTCTGAAGTCAATTTAGCGTCAGTACCTAGTAACACATGGTGGTTAGACTCAGGTGCAACTACTAACATCAGTGTTTCTATGAAGGGTTGTCTAAGCTATCGGAAGCCAATTGATTCTGATAGATGGATATATGTTGGAGATGGTAAATCGGTAGAGGTGGAAGCTATAGGGCATTTTAAATTGTTATTGAGTAATGGTTTTTATTTGGATTTGAAAGACACTTTTGTTGTGCCGTCATTTAGACGGAATTTGGTTTCAGTTTCTTATCTGGACAAATTAGGTTATTTGTGTTCATTTGGAAACAATAAGTTCAGTTTGTCTTTTAATTCAGATATTATTGGAACTTATTCACTTTTGCCTTATGATAATCTGTATTTACTTGATAATGTGACCACCTATAATGAAACCCTTAATACAGAATCACGGGGTACTAAACGTAAAATTGATGATACTCACTCAGGAGCATTATGGCACAGGCGCTTAGGTCACATCTCTAAAAATAGAGCTGAACGACTTGTGTTAAATGGAATCTTAGAGTTCATTGACTTCACAAACTTTGATGTTTTTGTTGAATGCATTAAGGACAAACAGACCAAAACGAAGAGATTAGGTGCATATAGAGCTACAGACGTCTTAGAGTTGATACATACGGACATTTGCGGGTCATTTCCTACACCTTCATGGAATGGTCAACAATACTTTATATCATTCATAGATGATTACTCACGATATGCATACTTATTCCTTATACATGAAAAGTCACAATCTCTAGACGTGTTCAAAACATTTAAAGCTGAAGTTGAAAATCAAATCAATAAAAGAATTAAGTCTGTCAGATCTGATCGTGGTGGTGAGTACTATGGCAGATTTGACGGGTCAGGTGAACAGCGTCCAGGACCTTTTGCCAGGTACCTAGAGGAGTGTGGAATTGTCCCACAGTATACCATGCCGGGATCACCTAGCATGAATGGTGTAGCTGAAAGACAAAACCGGACTCTTAAAGATATGGTCAGGAGTATGATTTGTCATTCCATCTTACCGGAGTCACTCTGGGGAGAGGCATTAAAGATGGCAACTTATATTCTGAACAGAGTACCAACTAAAGCAGCGACCAAAACACCTTATGAGCTTTGGATTGGGCGACAGCCTAGTTTGAAACATTTCCATGTGTGGGGTTGTCCAGCTGAGGCAAGGCCTTATAAGCCAAATGAAAAGAAATTGGACTCACGAACAGTAAGTAGTTATTTTATTGGTTATGCTGAAAGATCCAGGGGATATAAATTTTATGATCCCACATTAAAGACAATTTTTGAGACGGGAACTGCTACGTTCTTTGAGGATATTGAGTTTGGGGGGAAGAATAAAATCAGGAACTTTGTCTTGGAGGAAGAATCGGTAACAATTCCAGAACCGATTCAAACAGTTACTTTTGATAAAGTAAGTTCGAAACCTCCACAAGGCATTGTTAATGAACCCCTTACTCAAGATGATTTGGTTGTTCATGAATAACAAACTCAAGATCCTCAAGAACCTATGCATCATGAGCCAATAACTTTGCGGAGATCAACTAGAGAAAGAAGAAGTGCTATTTCAGATGATTACATGGTATTTCTTCAGGAACATGAGGAAAACAATGGTATGATGGAAGATGACCCAGTTAACTTCCGTCAAGCCATGCAAGGTTCTAACTCTGAAAAGTGGATTGAAGCAATGAAGGAGGAGTATAAATCCATGCAAGACAACAAGGTTTGGGAACTTGTCCCATTACCGAAGGTATGAGACCCATTGGTTGCAAGTGGATATTTAAGACCAAACGGGATTCTAAAGGTAATGTGGAAAGGTATAAGGCTCGTCTGGTAGCTAAGGGCTATACCCAAAAGGAAGGGATTGATTTTAAAGAGACTTTCTCTCCAGTTTCATCGAAAGACTCTTTTAGGACAATCATGGCTCTTGTAGCACATTATGATTTGGAGCTTCATCAAATGGATGTCAAGACGGCGTTTCTTAATGGCAACATTGATGAGACGATTTATATGGTGCAACCAGAAAATTTTGTGCAGGGAGATTCAAAGAGTATGGTTTGCAAACTGACAAAATCCATTTATGGACTAAAACAAGCATCTCGTCAATGGTACTATAAATTTCATCAAGTAATTCTCTCATTTGGCTTCGAGATGAATATTGTTGATGATTGTGTATATCACAAGTTTAAGGGGAGTAAGTATATTTTCCTGATCTTGTATGTTGATGACATTCTACTTGCCACTAATGATATGGGCATATTGCACGAAACCAAGAAATTTTTATCAAAGAATTTCGAAATGAAAGATCTTGGTGATGCGTCTTTTGTATTAGGAATTCAGATACACCGAGATCGATGTCAGGGTATTTTAGGATTATCACAAAGGAGCTATATCGAAAAAATTCTTAAAAGGTTTGGCATGCATGAATGTAAATCCGGGGATACTCCAATTGTTAAGGGAGACAAGTTTAGTCTCAATCAGTGCCCAAAAGGAAATTTGGAAATTGAGGAAATGCAAAAGATTCCCTATGCATCAGCTGTAGGGAGTTTGATGTATGCCCAAGTATGTACGTGTCCAGACATAGCATACATAGTTGGGGTTCTAGGAAGATATTTAAGCAATCCAGGAATGGACCATTGGAAAGCAGCAAAAAGGGTCATGAGATATTTAAAGAGAACAAAAGATTACATGCTCACATACAGGAGGTCAGACCAGTTGGAGATCGCTGGGTTTTCTGACTCGGACTTTGCAGGATGTCAAGATAGTTTGAACTCCACTTCAGGTTACATTTTCATGCTAGCAGGTGGTGCGGTTTCTTGGCGCAGTGTCAAGCAAACCCTTACAGCTTCATCCACTATGGCAGCAGAATTTGTAGCATGCTATGAGGCGTTGAATCATGGAATATGGCTGAGAAATTTTGTCACAGGGCTGCAAATTGTGAAAGGCATTGAAAGACCACTTAAGTTATATTGTGACAACAAATCAGCTGTATTATATTCCAACAACAACAGAAGTTCGACTAAGTCAAAACACATCGACATTAAGTTCCTAGTTGTTAAGGAAAGAGTACAGAGTGGACAGATTACCATAGAACATTTAGGGACAAACTCCATGATAGCAGATCCTCTAACTAAAGGACTTCCGCCCAAGGTCTTTCATGAGCATGTTGCTCACATGGGTGTTTTACAGTTTGAGGAATTTGTGGTTTAGTGGGAGTTAGTCATTTTCATATATTTTATGTTCTATGTTTAATTTTATATATGTATACATTATTTTTGGACATATTTGGTTATCTATAGATATGCGGTTTTCTTGTTCATTCATTACACTTTGTACATTAAGGTTATTATATCGATCTCGATAAGTTAAAGTTTGGACCAGTTGAAAATAGACGTGTACAAATCACCTTCACGTAATTTTTCATGCTACACATTTCATGATGAATCCATGTCATTTGGTTATGTTAGGATGAGTAGTCATTGTTGCTTTTAGTTGCGATGATGCAATGAAAAGCTGGTTTGGTTCTATATCCTGATATGATTAATGGACAGGACTTTTGGAATATGCTAAAGGAATATAATGGCAATCTTGAGCTCATAAAGTCTAACACATTTGTAAGGTTGTAAGGACATATATATTTGTGACCAGTGGGAGATTGTTGGCAAAATTTGGGTCATGTATATATATGATACATATTTAAATGTGTTAGGGTCATTATTTATTAAGCTAAATAATAAAGTGATCTAACTAAATTAAAAGGTTTGGCTAAAGACATATGTCATGAAAATAAAATTGTGTAGAGACCATAGAGCAATTTCCAATTTGATGAGGGGCCAAATTGGAAATACTAAAACTTAAGTAATTAACCTAATTTTGGTTATTTTAAGGGGTCATGGTCCCCTTCTGGGAGCACGTAGACAAAACGCGATTCATGATCCCGTTCTTTTCTTTCTATCCCCATCAAGAGAGAAAATCAAGAGAGAAATACGAGTGCTTCTTCGAGTGGAAGACCATAAGATCAATAGTGCTCTAAAAGAGACATCATCATTATGGCTAATTCAGGTACGCTTTCGCATTTAGTTTACAACATGTTTATGAGTATGTAATTATATTTATGTTTGATAATTAGAATAAAGATCATAATTAATTATCAGTTTACCTAACATTTAACTGGCTTCTCTTCTAAACTATCAAGGTTCTAGGGAGAATTTTACGATGTTCTTACTGGAAAATGGTATCGGGATCTAAACCAAGTTGATGTGGTGAAGATCCTTCGACTTCTCCAAGATTAAGTTAGAGTATATTTATCATCAATAATAAATATTTTCAAGTATGAATAAAAATACCTTTTTGAGCCATAGTAAATAATAGCAAAAAAATATTTAAAGATGTAACAACCTCTGTTATGAGAGATAATTTATATATTGAAGAATAAGAACATTTTAAATATATTGAGAACAAGTTAATCTATTTTAATATTATCACCTGATATTAAGGGTTAATAAGTACAAGTTTGTTCCTAAAAACATTTTTTACGACACTTTATTTAACTGTTTAAAATGTTATGAAAAACGTAATGAGAATTTGGTAGGATCAAAATTAAAATTCAGAAATTTATCAAATGCCAAAATCATATTTAAGCGTTTCTAAATTTATTAACCAAATCCCTTCACTTTTAAAATTTTATTTAAAAATAAAATAATTAATTTTTATAATTTATAATCTATTTTGTTTGGAATAATAAATTGTTTTTATTTATTAATTTTATACTTTCCCTAACTACACAAAATTAAATAAAATATTTAAAAATTAATATCATTTAGTAATACAATAAATTCCACTATTTACTAACATATTTAATAAAGGAGAAAATTGTGATATACTCAATAATTAAGTATAATTAACCTTTTAAACAATATAACTTGTTATTAAAAATAACTTAGAGTGTCACAAATAAGACAATACTATATATTTACACACATTACATTTACTCATTTCATGTATTGATATAATTTTATTCATTTGGCATTGTTATTCACTCAAGTATAATGCATATCTTATATGGATTTCGACACTTGAAGATTGTTAATGATTGAGTCTTTTTTTCTTAAAAAAAAAATTAAGAACATGGAACTCATGTGGATCAATTGATCACTCTTATAAGTGAATATATATAATTTATATAGATTCTCTTTTCAAATCTTGACGTCTTTAAAAAAAAATTGTGATAAATTAGAATTTAAAAAGAAGAATTCTTAAACTAATATAATTGTGAGATTATAAAACTAAATTCAAATTTTACATATTTTAATGTTACGAAAATTGTTATAAATATGTTTCAAAAATTTTAACTTGTAAAAAAAATTATAAATGTTTTATTTAATCTACAAATTATTGAAATAAAATAGTTTAATTAACATTTAAAACTTTAAAATTGCAAATCTTTCATTGAAACTATAAGCAATGGGGGTTTACTCGTTAAAGGTGCTTTAGTTGATATTAAATGATTACGCTTAAATTTATTAATATTAAATATTTGAAATTACTATAATCATCTCCCTGAAATTTAAAAATGTGAAAAAAATATAAATGTTTTTTGAGTTAATTTTTTATTTATGATTCACTGATATTTAATTATTTTAAATATATATAAATACTGCTTTTTTTTAATTTTTAAACTTTTAAATAACGCTAGAAATATTTTATTGAATATGTAATTTGTTCAAATTATATAGTTAAATTCACAATAAATAAATCTAGTTAATTAAAAGCTGTTATATATTTTTTTAACTTCAAATTGTAAAAATAATTATAAATACTTTATTGGAACTATGAATACTAGACACAAATAATTAAATTCAATTTTTTATAAATTAATATTAATATCAAAATTAACTTGAAATTTTAAACATTGGAAAAAAATCATACAAAAATTTTGGACTAAATTAGTAGAAAAACATAACTAAATTTATATTTACTAATTTTTTCTATTTTTATATCTAGCTTCTTGAAACATTCAGTTTTTAAAGTTTATATTTTGTTAAATTGATAATAGTTTGTGTTAAATCAGTAATTATAAATACTTATTATGAATAAACGTTTTTTAGCATGATTGAAAAAATAAATATGTTTAAATTGATATAAATTATTTTATATATAGTTAAAAAAATATATTTTATTTACTATATAGAATAACCTCTTCCCCGTTACATAATACTGGAAGAAAGAGTTTTATAAATAAAACTACGAATCAATTAAAAACATGTAGTTTGGCAGTTGTGATCATTTTAATGGGTTAAAATAATTTTTAATATGTTAAACCTATTATGGTTGTATATTTTTCTCTCAATGCTTTGTTTAATAAAATTCAAATTTATTCAAAATAATTTTCAAATTAAATTTAGAGAGATATTTAATATAATACTCTTCACTTTATTAACTTCTAATTTGAATATTGTTCTAAGATAGTGACAAAGAATTGATCTCACTAGTTGATCACCTTATTCTTTTCTTCTTATATTTTATTTTTAAACTTCTAAAATGATCGTATTCCTTTTTTTGTAAAATCTATTTTTTTATTTATTTAGGTTGTCTATCTAGTATATGATTTGACTATAGTTCTTAATTAGTGGGCCTATAGTGAGTTATTGGTCAGTATTCAATATTAGGATTTTTTTATTTTTTTTTTATCTCTTACTTGTCTTGTATAAAAGATATTAGATTAGGTTAGTTAATATGATTGAAAAACTAAATGTATCTCTCTTATTAAATGAACTACTATAATTTGTTTTCACTTTTCTTGATATTATACATCATTTTTTACTAATCACATACTCATCAGTTATTATTTATAGTAAATCTCATTAGAAATTTATCTTGGAAAATATCTAATAAAAAAAATGTCAAAGCTCAATCTACCCTTTAACTCAATACTTTAATCTTAATACATGTCCATATTTTAGCAACTAATTAAATTAAAAAGGTTAAAATCATTTTTTTTATAATAAATGAAATTCACTGTATGAAAATATAGGAGTGTTAATATGGAAGTTAACCCAATTAAAGCCAAATTAAATTGAAAAAAAATAAAACTTTTTAAAAATAAATTAGAACTAGTTTGCTCACCTAATCTATGGTGGATTGAACAGGTTCAAGTTGAATTAATAATGAATTGACCCATTTTTTTATTTTATTTTCTGCCACAAGGTTATGTAAATCTATAAAGAAAAAAATTATTTTTACGTGTGAATCCGCTTAAACTTATTTATTTGAATAAATCAATCCATTTAACTCACTTAATAATTTTAAAAAATAATATGCACTTTCAAATTAATCGATTTACCTAATTCAAATAAAACAATCTACTTAACTCACCTGTCTAAAGTGATCAACCGAATTGTAAAATTATTATTTACAAAATAAATTAACTCATTTTTAACTAATTCATTTGAACCAAGTTGGCAAACTTGACACCCATCAAAATGGAATGTTGCTAGTCCTAAATACCTGGTCCACTTCATTTTTTTTTCTTTTATTTTTATTATAAAGAAAACAAAATGAAAATTAAAAAGAATCCTATAAATAATATATTTTAAAAATAATTACTTAAATAAAAATTTTATCAATTTATTTTCTTAAAGTATACTTGTTTACATACTTGTTTACTATATTTATAAGTAGTTTTTTCTTCCCCTCCTCGTAGATTTCTTTTTTATTTTTTTCTCTTTTCTCATTCATTTCTTAATTTTTTTTTCTTACTCTTTTATTTTTCTCTCCTCTTTCCCTTATTCTTATAATTAGACTACTATATTAAAATTTAATAAAAACATGTTAAAATATAAATATTTTAAAATAAAAAATGAAACTAAAAAAATATTAACTAATTATTTTAAACTACGATAATAATAAATAAATTTCTTTATTTTGATAATAAATAAATAATTAAAAATTATTTTATCATAATAAGTCATTATTCATCTAATTAAAATAATATCAAATATTTATAAATTAAATATATTTATAAATTAAATAAATTAATAATTTAATCTAGTTAATAATTAAATATATCATAATAATTATGTTTATAAATTAAGAAACAATTTCAAGTCAAAGAGGTGAAAAAAAAATTGCAAAGTAAATTATCCTCACCCAATACTATAAATGATTCAAACGTTACTTTTTTTCAAAAACCCAATCTAACAACATACTTCTACATTAAATGAAGGAGTAAAGAATGTTTTTTTTTATATAAAATGTTTATTTTTTCCTAAAATGTTTATTTTTTCCTAAAATGTTTATTTTTTACGAGCCATACCTGCTAACTTGTAAGAGATATAAATGACACACTACTTGGTAGCAGATAAGAACTGTACAATGATAAATTGAGAGTTTAGTTATACTTATGTGATTTGTACAAGTATCGTAATGGCTAAGTATTATGCATAAACTGGTTTTTAACATGATTCCATAATCTGACATCAGTCTAGAAGAGCCAAAACTTCTTCTTTGGCACTCTAGGTGGAACATCTGGAAATTCATTCAACAAATAAAAAAATTAGCTATTGTTTGATACGATTTCTGAAGGTATAAAGATAAGACGGGTAGAAAGAAAAAAAAAATCATTTCAAATTTTAGGCATATAATTACCTCCAGTGGTGTACAATGAGTTATAGTGCACTTCACTCCAAAAGCTTAGCCATAGCTCTACAGTTAAAAAAAAAAATCATAATCACATAACTAAAAACAAACATAAAAGCAAGTGATGAAAAATAACTCTCGTGCTATGACTTCTCATGATATAATGATTGAAATACCAATTCATTATTCACCCAATAGCTGAGGTACTTGATAGTTCAAGAAATGATTTTAATTCAAGGAAAATGTTTATTGCCACTCCTATTTTTACATATTTTTTAATTCAAGGATCATTGAATCCATTGAGATGATAGAATTTGTTGTTCATTATTTGATAGTGTCTATCCAGATCTTTGATCTTGACCGAGCAACATCTCATTTTGAAAAAATTTTGCCTGAGCATTTTATCAATCACTCGAGTCATCTTCTATGAATTCTTCATGTAAAGCTCCTAATCCTGCTGAAGTTTGTCCTAGTTCATGGAAGTGGTTCTATCTGACAACTCTGAAGTTATGATACCATTCTTTCAAAGTTCGAATCATTCTTCAACAAAATTCTTCAATGACCTTATAGGAATTTGATTCCTTAACTAGCTTGGTATCTAACCAAGCTCCAAATTCGATCAGTCTAGCTCTCCATTGCCTTGGCGGAATGTCATCAATAGTGAAACAGGGTCCCCCATTTGGCTTTGAAGAGGCATTTGTCTTAGTAGGACCAAACTTGACTTCTTCATCAAGAGAGTCATAGATAGGTTCATGCCTAACTTCTGATCTCAAGGTATTGGTCATCAGAATTTTGGTTAGATCTTCATAACTGGGAACTTCTGTTTCTGACTCTCTTTGGAGGTATACTCTTCAACAATTGTAGGAGTATTCGTAAGGGTTGGAGTTATAGGAGTATCTGTAAGAGTTGGAGTTGTAGGAGTATCGGTAAGAGTTGGAGTTGTAGGAGTATTCGCAAGAGTTGGAGTTGTAGGGAGTATCTGTAAGAGTTGGAGTAAGACAAGGCTCTATAGTTATCTGAGAGTATGGATCTTGAGAGTCTTGGAAAATTGGGTCAAATGAGTCTTGTTTTTTAGGTGAAGGTTGATCTTCAAAAAAAGATTCTGGAGAAGGTATGAGGACCTTCTTGCCTTTGTCTGGTTTTGGTGTTGCTGGTCTAGACCATGGTCTGTAAGTAATGGCCGTAGGTAATGAACAGAAAGTTTGTGGTGATGGCCAAAAGTATGGAGACGGGTTCTGGAAAGAAGAGTAGATCGGAGATGAAATAAATAGGGATGAATAAAGATCTTTCTTTATTTTTATTTTTTTTTACTTTCGTTTCAATATAAGTGTCCATCTCCTGGATTCGGGCCTTGAGCCTTCTGATCTCCTTTTCTTTGGCATGAGATAGTTCTCCAAATATGATGTTTTTTCAATCTTCTTCTAACCTTGAGAGTTCTGAGAAAAATTGTTTATAGTACTTTCTTTGAGTTGAGTTGAGCTGCTGGAGCTTACCATCAGTCTCTTCAAAGTGTGTTAAGATTTTATCTATCTTCTGGTCCATTCGTTGCAAAATAGAGTTTTGGACTCTATCTTTGGAAGAACTCTCAAGGTTGAGTTTCCTCATAACCCTCAAGGTTAGAAGAAGATTGGAACATCACTATCTTTGGAGAACTATCTCACGCCAAAGAAAAGGAGATCAGAAGGCTCAAGGCCTAAATCCAGAAGATGGACGATTATATTGAGACGAAAGTCAAACAACAGAAAATAGAGAAAAATCCTTATTCATCCTTGTTTACCTCATCTTCAGTCTACTCCTCTTTCTAGAACCTATTTCCATACTTTTGGCCATCACCACAAACTTCTTGGTCATTACCTACAACTACTGTTTACAGACCATGACCTGGACTAGCAACACCAAAACCAAACAAAAGCAAGAAGGTCGTCACACCTTCTCCAGAATCTTCTTTTGAAGATCAACCTTAGACCCATTTGACCCGATTTTCCAAGACTCTAGACATGGACTCTCATCACAAGTTATTGGATCAATTTTTTGAGATATCCCATCAACATGGAATCATGCTTTCAGAGAAAAAGATCCACTTGACCTAAAAGGAAATTGACTTCTTGGGTATGCATTTCTGTCAAGGCTCGTATCAACCTCAACCTCACATTGCTGAAGAACTTAACTTCTCGGATGAAAATCTGACTGTCAAGCAAATCCAAAAATTTCTTGGAATAGTTAACTATATTAGAGAAGCTCTAAAGATTTCAGGCAATGGAAAAAGAATATTACAGACTGATGCCAATGATGACTACTGGGTAGCAGTTCTCATCGAAAAAGACAATGGAAAAAGGTATTACTGTGATCATGCAAGTGGACCGTTCAAGGATGCCGATAAACATTATCACACTACCTTCAAAGAAGCCTTAGCTGTCAAAAATGGAATAATAAATTTTGATTTTCATCTCAGAGGACATCATTTTGAAGTACATATGGACAACTCCTCCTTGTTTCCAAGAATTCTAAAATTCAAAAACAGAATGCCTCCTAATCCTCGGATCCTCCGAGTAATGAACTGATTTTTAAGGTATGATTTTTCTGTTAAGAACATCAAAGGAAACCAAAGCACAATTCCTGATTTTCTGTTCAGACCAAAGAAAATTGTCCAATTGATTTTTGACACCTATAGTCTTCCTCTCCTTTTATGGTTTAAATCTCAATCCAACAAAGCAAAGATTGTTAGAATCTATCGTCCTGGACTAAACCCAACCACACCAGCAAATATCCTCCAGTATGCAAAATCTCGCTACTTTTACTTTCTCCATGAAACCATGAAATACAAAACCATCCCAACCTCCATGTTTAACCCTAACATTCCCTTTGGGGGAATTTTTGAATTATTCTATGACCCGGGTTAGGACCTCTGTGAACCAACACTTTGGACTATATGGTTTGATACTGTTCAATACTCCATCCCCATTGCATTAAAAACACAGACAACCTATATAATTTTGAAAGATCCCTATAAAGACAAGTTTTACTTCTGAACTCTACTCAAATAGTTCTCATCACTGTCTTGGTGGAGACAAGAGCTCAAAAAGATTTTAGACTGTCAAAGACAAAAGGGAGTGACCGAAAACTCTGTCAAAGATCTCACTTCGATCTTCATCATTCATACATTCTAAGACCCCACGATGTTAATTCCAAGTGATGAGACCTTATGAAAGGCACCTTTCACAATTTGGGGGGAGGGGGTTAAATAAAGTTTTTTCATCAAAATATCATGATTTTCTATTTCAGTTCTTATACCAACCTCAAGGTTTCCAAAGATAAAAAAGCCAAAGTTGTGCCCCATTATGGTAATCAAACTGCTTTCCGGAAGAGTAAATTACACTTTATGCAACAAAATTGCCAAATGAGAATTCTAAATAAGGGCAAATGAAACCAAACGTTACACAATCAACATTAACAACACTTGCCTCTAGTGGGATTTTTGTCAGTTGGAAGGATCTCAACATAGTAAGTGTCTCTGAAAGAGGTTACTAAACAAACTTTGGCATCAAACTGAAGAAGAAAAGCATGAGTAATCAGAAATCATTTTTAACCATAAACAACAAACAAATCCAACTAAATATGGAAATTTTAAATAAATAAATGCAGAACTTAAAAAAGACAATAGATAGTAAACCAAAATGATAACCCCAAAAGTGGAAAATTACAATGAGGAGAATAATAAATTGTTACACAACATGCGTGACACAAGTCCTTGGGCAGAGGCTTGATGGGTAGAGCCTCGTGGCTTAGCTCCCCTAATTAACTTTCTCTGAAATCTTTTACGCTATAATAGCAAATAAATATTCTAACAGGTTGTTTAAACAAAATGGTGAACCTAACAGGCTATCTACTTCATACAAAACAGAATTTGGATTGACGTAATATTTTTGGGTTCGATGTATAATCTCCCTTGTAGTCCATACACAGTTTCCGTATCTCTTGCATCTATTTTCTCAATGAGCGTACAATCTTCATGGCAACAGGTTCACCATAAAGTACTCAAGATTTAGATGGGAACCTTGGAAGGCAGGAATTAGCTCGAGTATAAGAAAATCTTTCTTCCACTATTATCTAATTACAAAGGAATTAAAGTCATACCAATGAAAAAATAAGAATTATGAGCGAGGAATGGTTGAATTGTGATTCTGGGTATGAGCCAGGAGTAGTGAAGCAGTAATAGGAATCTACCGTCTAAATGGGATGCGCCATTTAAGGCATACAATTGAAGGCCCACACAATGTGAAGTCTAATATTTATTAGGTATTTGCATCTTTCTTCCACTATTATCTAATTACAAAGAAATTAAAGTCATACCCATGAAGAAATAAGAATTATGAGCGAAGAATGGTTGAATTGTGATTCTGGGTATGAGCCAGGAGTAGTGAAGCAGTAATAGGAATCTACCGTCTAAATGGGATGCGCCATTTAAGACATACAATTGAAGGCCCACACAATGTGAAGTCTAATATTTATTAGGTATTTGCGAAGGGGTAACAATCGAAACATTCACAAATAGAATCACAAATCAATCATATAAAAGAACGTGATTCCACATTCAACTCAAAACCTTAAAGCATTAAATTTATGAATTTTTTCCACTTATATATTGTTCAACTTTTTCATTCAATCCAATATGAGATTCCAACACACTCTTGAACTCTAACAATCTCTTCCTCAAGTGTGAGTCCTTACACATTGATACATTTAGCGTGACTCTTACTTGTTCTGCGGTTCAACACAACAAAACTCGTTTTGCCTAAAAGCTTTATTAAGAAGATTTCAATAAGAAGGATTCACAATCTAAGATATATCACCTACTTTATATCGTACTTGACTAAGTCATACTTGAATTCTAACAATCTCTCCCTCAAGTGTCTTTCACATTGATACACTCCCCCTCAATTTGATAATGGCAGGCCAAGTGGTTTTTTTCTCTTGCTCTAGATGGATGAGGCAATGGGATCCTTTATTCCCTCTACTGTTCTGCTTGGTTCAGGAGGTGTTGAGTAGAAGAATTACTAAGCTTGTAGTTGATTGGAACCTTATTAGAATGGCAGGATCTAAATCATTAATTTCCATACTCATACTCTATGCTGATGACATCATGATTTTCTGCACAATATGAAAAATCTAACAAATATTAAGAAGGTGTTGCAGGATTATGGTTCAGTTTCTAATCAGATGGTTAACCGTGTCAAGTCTAAGTTCTGTGTACTAAGTTCTTGAGAAGCAGGATAAATAGATTCAAGAGTATGTACTTGGGTTTCAACAGGGATCTCTTCGTTTTATTTAGATATGTGTTTGTTCAAAAGTAAAACTAGGAAGGCATACCTGATGTCCATTATGGATAGGATCAAAATTAAACGTGCTATAAATGGAAAGGCTATCTTCTGTCATACGTGTCATACATGGGTCATGCTCTTATTAAATCAGTGATTCAAAGTATGCTCTTCTTTAGATTTCAAATTGATCTTTGGCCTGAAGCTTCATTAAAATTTTGGGATCTTGGTTCAGAATTTCATTTGGACTGAAGATAATCAAACAACGAAAACTACTGTTGCTTGGAGCATTATGTGTTATGTACATGAGGTAGGTCTTGATATTAGGTCCATTAGTGAGATGAATAAGGCTAGCATGGTCAAATTATGTTGGCATTATCTATTCTTGTGAATACTGTCATGTTATCAGCTATAAATCATGTTGTAGCTCAGATTTGGAACAGTAGAAATAGGATCATGTTTCATGTTTTATAATTTGATCATGCCATATCAGCATATTAAACACAGGATATTTTTCTGCTGTTAATTTATCTAGTTCCTTTTGTTCAAGAAGTGTGAATTCTCTGATGTCTGAATTTAAATTTTAAAAGCTTTTAATTTTACTCGTAGGTCAAGGAAGACAGAAAATATCATTCAAGTTAACTAGTATCCTCCAACTTCGGGGTGGATTAAATGCAAGGATGACACCTATCGAAAACAAGGGAATTTATCAGCTTGTGGTGCCATTTTTAGGAACTCGGGCTAAGAATATGGGATTTAAAAAGATTCTTTAGTCACTGTATATTCTTTCAATGACGATATGCTAGTTCCTTGGTGATTAAGGAACAAATGGGATAATGCTGAGTTTGGTTAAAAGAATGAATTTCCCATATCTACATAAAAGACAATAGGTGTAATAATAGTTTGGCTAATTATGGTATTGGACGTGTTGATTTTATTTGGTGAGAGGGAATTCCCCCTTGTATTTCTTATGATTATTGTACATATTTGTCGTCTTCCACATTTTAGGTTTTCCTAGTGGCCTTAGTTGAGTCCCCCACTTTTATATTTGTAACTTTTTTTTATATATGCTATCAGGAATGCTCCAGGTGATTGATACAGGTTACAGTGCTAATCTAGTTAGGATTAGCCTGCATAGTGATGCTATAACATTCTTTATTAAAAAAAAGAGAAAAGAAAAAAAAAAGAGGGAAAAAAATAAGAAGCTTGTTATCATTTCAGATAAAAGATCTGTGGAATTTAGATAACTTACACGGTCTGCAGCTGCTTGTAGTGTAACATGATCTCCCCACTCCCCTGATCTATTGGCAGACAATATGCAAATATTGAATTAGTGTTTACCATCAATGCTACATGCTCTTTAAAATCAAAGCAAATTGATCAGCAATTGATATCTAACTTTTTCATCTTCTTCAAGTAGCTTTTGTACTCCATTGGTACATAACCTTCATACAAAGTTTTGTGATGCTTTAGCTGGAGAAGAAAACAATAAAAAATGAACAAGAATATAAAATTAGTTAAGAAACAGACTGTAAGTCTCCCACTCAGAAAGCAGATTACTATTAAACACTGCCCAACAAAGAATACACGATTACACATATAGCATGAAGGGAAAAAAAGGGCCAAGAGTGAAAATGGTGCAGTGTTTCATTGAAAATTTTCTGGTGTTCAACTCAGATTATGATAGGAATAAAGTCCCTATAATTAAGGGGAGAATAAACCAGGATCAAATCAGTTCCTGAAATTTTGTTATTTTGAATAGGCTATTGTTATTCCTTTTCTGTTTATATGCTGTAAATCATTAACGTGAGAGTTAGAACAAAGTTATATTCGCTTCCTACTTACACAAAGTAACCAGAGAATAAGGTGCACTAGAAGGACTATACAACAAACACACCTGCTTTATAACCTGCCTCCTAACATGCTTGTGATAATCAGGCTTGCGGAACAGCTGATCTGCTAATGCTCGAAACTGTCAGGTAAGATTTTGCAGATGTTAGACAAAATATTATCAGAGGAAAAGGAACGTTTAACAAAAGTAGCAATGATATGAACACCCTAAGGTGGCATATAATTTCTTCTTTTTTTCCAGAAAAGAAAAAAAACCTGGCAATTCCCATCACCCTCCATCTGTAGTTCTGCCAAACCATTTGCAACTAACCTGTAGAAAAATGGAGCATGATTCTTAAGTAAAACAAAATACTTTATGCATAAAAGAAAAAAATGTAAATAATTTGGTTCACACAAACTGTGCTTTGTCCCACGTTTCTAAACCATTATCATTTTCACATAATACGCACAGACTTCTCAATTAAGTTATAACTTTAATTCAACTAGGGCTTCCTTTTCAAAAAAATGAGAAAAGAAATACAAAAGCCTCATGGAAGTTGAAAAATAGAACTATGCTAGAATTCTCAACGAGCATATTATCTATCCTCTTTCTCGTTATCACAGTAACAATGTTGAGAAGATTGAACATGTTTGCTTTTGTAAGCCTACAAACCTGATTAATTTCAATCTCAATGTAGGCAATATTGAATTTCATTGAAAAAACAAAGGGAAATATGTAAATAAAACAGTTAATTGGTGTGGTAACAAAACTAAAATAAATCATTGGATATTAAGCTAGTCTATGCAACCTTTCAGACAGCCTCTTGTGGTCTACTGTAGCATCATTTGCATCAGGAATTTCTCCATTAACGCGGGGAGTGTGCTGCCAACATACTGAGTTAGTATTTTTATCCCAATGCAGAAAAGCATAACAAGGGGTAGGTTAGCGTACTTAACATGGGATATTTGTATGAGTGATTAAATGAAAATTTTCTAATACGTATAAATAATGCATATTAATTACAAACAATTCGAGTATGTTCATCCCAATGCAGATAATAGGAGAAAAAGGTATAATAAAGGGTAGGTTAGAGTACTTAACAAGGGTATTGGTATGAGTAATTAAATGAAAATTTTCTAATATGTATAAATACTGGATATAAATTACACATCCTTTAAGATATTGGTTGAGAAAACCCTAGCGACAATTGATATATAAAGCTGAGAACAATTAATCTGTGACCTCTTCATTACAAAGCAAAGGTTTTGAAATCAGGAGAAATCCAACAAGAAGTTAAACTATAAATGTGGAACCCCTTCAACAGCATTTCTAGTACAGTAAAAGGAAATTATGTTTCAAATTCACTTTTTAATTCGATCATGGTAGAAACAAAGACGGTGTAGTGTTCCATATCTTTAAAATTATTCAACATTATCCCTTCATAAATAATTTCCACAGAAAAACTACACATTGCATATCCCAATCTTAGTTTAGGGTCAAGTTTGTAGGTAGTTTTTGCCGATTAAACATTCAGTTTGCATTGTCAAAGCATCCATCAATTCCTAAATTTGACAAGGCTATATTCATTAGTTTTCTCATGATTAAGGGGATTAAGAGATTAAGCGCTGTATGTTGGTCCATATGGAAGGAACTATTGTCCCTTAAGCATGTGGTAGGTTCAACGTTAAGTTTTAAATTTCACTTGAATAGGAAAAACAATTCGGAGATTGTTGTCACTGACTCTATCTCAATAGATTGATTTCTCGCTTATCTCCTACTTTAGCAAATTAAAAAATAAAAAACATATAATTACGGGTGACTATTAATAGGTTTAAACATGTTTTTATTCTGAATTTTTAGTTTTTAGGCAGAAAAGTTTAAACTAGAGGAATTTACTTATCACCTATCAAAGGGAGAAAATTAAAGAATTGAATCCAGCTAGTGAAAGAAGTTGGCATTCTGATCTTTACTTTATTCTCCTTACAAATTTTATTTACTTTTAACTGTCGTATTTCATATGATATGATATGATTTTAATATTTCATTGTACAAACTTTCAGTTGTTGGGGATAAACTAAAATTACCTTATTTTGTTTTAAATAAAAATTAAAATAAATAAATAATAATTTTTCGTCCCTGAAAGAGTAGACCGATGTCAAATTAGGCCCTACCTATAAGAAGCAAAGTCTTTTCTTAGTCTATGAATGTGTAAAAAGTACCATATTAAGACAATTACGTCCTGCTGTTAACCTTCATTTTGTCATTAAGTTTTAATGTTTAATGATTACTTTAACTTATAATTTTTGAAGATCACTTTAATATTAAGTTCTAAAGTTCAAAAATCAATTTGTAATTTTCACACATCTAGGAATTATATTTTTTTATTTTTTCAAAAAACTAAATTGCCATTAACTGCACGTTCAAGAAACAAAATTGTTATTTGTCCTAAATAAATAAAACTTCATAGTTTACAGGAGAAAAGACAAAATATTTAATGGATAAATACTTGATTTGGTCATTCAATATTTAAATGGTAACAATTCTGTCCTTGAAAAATCGAAAAATTTGATAAATGTGAAAAGAAAATATGAATTGGTCCTTGAACTTCACAACTTAACAATCTGACTTCTCTTAGAAAAAACAGATAAAAACTACATTGAACAACCTAATATCATATTCCTCTAAGAAAAAATATAATTTAGTATCAAATTGATCTTTAAAATTACTGGACAAAATGATTTCATAAAACATAAAGGGAACACTTAATTTTCTCACTTTTTATAAAGAATAAGAGAATTTCTGTTGGTTCAATACTTAAATTATCACTCTGTACAATTAAGAATGATTCTCATATTTCAAAATAAATAAAAAGCATGATTGTGGCATCTTACTGGAATGGAATCTAAATGTGAAAGCCTCTTTCCAAGCCTGTTGTCTGCCTTGAGATTTTCGTCCTCCGCTAATATGCTTGCAATTGTTTGGTCATCCTCTGTTTCCAAAAATATGCTGTTCAAACTTGAGCTTGAACTCCCACTTCCATTCCTCAGCTTCTCATTCATACTTTCCTATTTCTTCTTCTCAACACAACCAATAGTAACCTTCCAAAATTCAATTGCCAATTTATTCATAATAATAATATCAAATATAAAACAAAAAATCCAGTACAATATGATAAAAATGAATTGATATGAATAAATCAATTCCACAAAACAAAATGATTTCTTTTCTTAACCAAAAAAATTACCATACGTTAGAATGAATTTACAACCATTCATATACCTGCTCAACTAGACCCTTAACAATGATTTCTTCAATCTAATTATTATACAACAATTGTAAACCACGAAAGAAAAGTTAAGCCCCAGACCTCATTATTTACGAGTTAAATAGGAAAAAAAAACGCTAATTTTCGCGGCGACAGGGAAAGAAAAACTAGAGTTTGTGTGGAATAGTGAATTCACGCGTGTTTGGATTTTTACCTTGGCTAGGTTCTGTAGCAGAGGAGAAAACGAAAAGGTTGATGCCAAACCAAACACGGAAGAGCTAGATTGAATACGAGATGAACAGATGGAAGATGAAATAAATGTGGACGTTGGAGAGAATTGAAGAGAAGAAAAGTAGGTGTGGTTTAGGAGGAAACAGTTGGTTCTGGGGAAAAGGAAAAGAAAAGGAGTAAACCTACACGGCAGCGTTGCGTTAGCATGAGTTCGCCTGCCGTTTATTTTGATTTTTTCAAAATGTTCCAATTTGACCCGTCTTTTTTACTTCATGTTTTATCTAGCGCAGCTAGCACCAAGTGGTTTTAGGGGATTTTACATTTTTTAAATTTATCAAAATGAATAAATATTAAAAGGAAATTTTTAAAATATGACTTCTAATAATGACTTTGTATTTTTTAATACAACTTACCGTAAAACATGATTTTAATGTTATTTTTATGAATGAAAACGTTAATCCGTCACATTAATAATATATTTAAATAAATATATGTCAGTTTATTTATTCAAATTTATTATTCATATATAAAATTCAATATAAAAACTAAATTCATGAGACATGATCTCATTATTTTTACTTTTTTTTCACTTTATTTATTTACTTTTATTAGTTTTTATTCTGTTCCCTTCTAATGTTTGATTTTTTTTTTCACTTCATTTCATTCTTTTAACTAAAAATATTATATTAAAATTTGACAAAATAGATTTTTAATTATTTTTAAAAATAAAAATATTTAAATGATAAAAAATACTATAATTTAATATCTTATATTTAAAAAATTATATGATAAATTTAAAGTATGATAAATATTATTATTATGTTATAATTATTAAAAAAAGTTAAATATTATGTTAAAGTAACTTTTTAATAAATATTTTATTTTAAAATATATTATTTATAAGATTGATTGAATTATAAAAATCAAGCTTTTAATTTGGGATTCTAATATAAGTGAGCTAATTTGATTCTTTATGAGTTATAGGCGAATTTGATTGACAATATTTAAAAACGTTTAATAATAGATTAAAGCGAACTTGATTTATTTAATAAGCAGGTTAAACGGATTAGTGGTAGTTGATCCGTTTGTTCAATCTTAAATATTTTAATTTTTTATCTATATTAATGTAAATCCATCAAAAGAAATATTTTGATAAATAAATTCACTTAACCTAAATCATCTAATCTATCTATTTTAATAATTTTAAAAAATAAAAAACAATTAAAAAATACACATATTTAATAGACTTAATGATGTAAGTTCACTTTAATTCTTTGAAATAGGGTGTTGGATTACTTAAGAAAATATAGGAAAAATTGTCATTGGACATTAAGATAGCAAGTTATCTAGATGTGAAGATGCATTTCCAACGGTTCAAGAGAGGAGTGAATGAAATTAATATTGATTAGCAAACAACACATGAACAAGGAGTAAAAATAGGAAAAAAGAATAACAAAATGTAAGATATAAAAGATGGTGATGGTGAGGAAACACGCCACTCTTTGGACAAATGTCATATTAGGCACACTAAGTTAAGAGATAAGTGGTGAAACCGCCACTTACTTAGGAGCAAGATAAGGTCATGGAGTCTCTACCCTAGGGAGAAGATCCCCACAGAAATATGGGACAAAGGAGTATTTTGATTTCAAATGTTCAACCCTACAAAGGAGAAGAAACACCCCTTAAATAGATAGTCTTGGGGGTTTCTTAGCAAGTAACAAAAGTTCTAAAAGGGTACATTTGCAAACCTTAAAAAGTATCTTCTACAAACCTAACATGAAAGCAAGGAAAAGGCAAATGAAATGTTGGACTTCCTATGGTGATTCTTGGCTAAGACTAAGGAGGAGACCACATTTGTCTCATTCACCACCATAAAACATCTTTCTCTTTATGCTTTTGCTTTATGTTTTCCATCTCATGCACATGTGGTCCAATCCTAGCTTGCCATGTGGAAAGTCCTAATCGTCCTCTTAATCCATGCTTAACTTACAAGACACACAAATGAAACTAGATTAGCAATGTTGACTTGGGTCAAGTTAACTCTAGTAAAAAAGTCAACCCAATTCAAGGTCAACAAGTCAACTAAAATTAATTCTACTTAATTTAACTTAGGGAATTCAAATTAAGCTAATGGAAAATAAAGATAGGGTAGAACTAGAAGACTCCCCTCTTGTCATGCCTTCATCATCCTCCCCTTCTTGGAGAGAATTCGACTACAAATTCTTATACCCTACATCAAAAGGAGAAAGATCACAAACATTAAATAAGTTACTTATGTTATATGTGGATGTTAAGTCTAACTCATATGCGTTGTTGTTAATCTTCCTAATGATTTGGAAGGGACCATCTCCTCTTGGGGTAAGTTTAGACTTTCTTTGAGTAGGGAATCTTTCCTTCCTCAAATGAAGCCAAACCCAATCCCCTTCTTTGAAGATGACTTATTTCCTTCCCTTGTTAGCACTCTCTTGATGCTTGCTCACCCTTTTCTCAATTTTCCTTTTGACTTGCTCATGTAACTCTCTAATCATGTTAGCCTTAGTGACTCCATCTTGACAATTCCATGCCTCATGGGTGGGGAGGGGAAGAAGATCCATGGGAGTGAGAGGATTGAATCCATACACAACCTCAAAGGAGGAGTGGGAGGTAGTAGAATGCACAACCCTATTGTATGCAAACTCTATGTGAGGGAGAAGTTCCTCCCACTCTCTAGTATTTTGGACTATCACGCACCTCAACATTTAACCCAAGGTTCTATTAACCACCTCAGTTTGGCCATCATTTTGGGGGTGATAAGTTGTTGAAAATAGGAGCTTTGTCCCAAGATTCCCCCAAAGTGTCCTCCAAAAATGGCTTAAGAAATTTGTGTCCCTATCACTCACAATGGTCATAGGTAGGCCATGTAGTCTCACAACTTCCTTAAAGAAGAGATTTGCAATGTAAGTAGCATCATCAACCTTGTGGCATGGAATGAAATGGGCCATTTTTGAAAATCTATCCACAACCACAAGGATGGAATTTGTACCCTTCTTTGTCCTTGGTAGTCCTAGCACAAAATCCATTGAAATATCCACCCAAGGTTTAGAAGGGATGGGCAAAGGGGTATAGAGATCATGAGGTTGGACCTTGGACTTTGCTTTCTCATGTGGGGCCAATAGAAATATTCTTTTAAGACTTCCAAATTTTTGTTGGCCCCAAAATGTCCCATTAATCCCCCCTCATGTGACTCCCTAATAAGTGAAGCTCTTAAGGAACCCTTGGGTATACAAAGCCTCTTACCTTTGAAAAGGTATTGATTGAGGAGGTAGAAGTCTTTGTAAGCCCCTAGGTGGCATTCACTAACAATGGGGGAGAAATCACCATCACTAGCATACAATTCCTTAATGTGATCAAAGATAAAAAATTTGGTTTCTAAAAGGGTTAGGAGTGAATGGCACCTTGAAAGGGCACCTTGAAAGGGCATCCGCCACCACATTAATCTTTCCTTATTTATGTTTGATCACATATGGGAATTGTTCTATGTATTCAACCCATCTTGCATGTCTCTTGTTCAACTTGCTTTGGCTTTTCAAAAACTTTAGGGACTCATGATCACTATGAATCACAAATTCCTTTGAAACAAGATAGTGTTGCCAAGTTTGCAAAGTTCTCACAAGGGCATAAAGTTCTTTGTCATAAATGGAGCAATTGATGTGACTCCCTTTTAATTTCTTACTAAAATAGCCAATGGGGTGCCCTTCTTGAAGAAGCATGACCCCTATCCCTACATTGGATGCATCACACTCTACTTCAAAGGTCTTTGAGAAGTTAGGGAGGACTAGAAGTGGGGCATTGATCAATTTTTCCTTGAGAGTTTCAAAAGCTTTGTCTTGATCCTTGCCCCATTTGAAGTCCACACCTTTTTTAACCAATTCAATCAAAGGGGCAGTGCAGACCCCTAATCTTTCCCGGCATCATAATAAAGACCAGAAGACCTCCTTTTCGAAGATGGATGAAGTCTAAGAAGCCATTAGGAGAGACTATTAGGCCCCATACTAGGATAGGAGGGATTTTTGGCTCAAAAATAAGGATTTTCGCCTTTTAAGGACGAGACCGCCGTCTCGCCTTGCACGGATGGCGAGACCACCGTCTCGTTTGGCGAGACGACCGTCTCGCCACTCGCGAATGGCGAGACCGCCGTCTCGATTGGCGAGATGGTCGTCTCGACCTTGTCAGACGAGACGACCCGTCTCGACCTGACAGGTGCAAATCCCTATAAATAGAAGCGTCATTCCCCTCATTTCCAACAGTTCTTCCTCCTTCTCTCTAGACTTTTCTCCAAATTCTCTCTCTAGACCCCCCTCCGAAGCATTTCCGGAGTTTCTGAGAGTTTTCTATAGCGTTTTTGAGCGTTTTCGACATTGTAACGAGCAGAGGGCTGCCAAAAAGCACCCTAGTACTCAAAGAATTAATAGAAAAGCTTGCTTCGGAGGTTTATACTTTCTCTCTCTATCTTTTACTGCCTTATTTTAAATTACGCAATAGACATTAGGGCCATGTAGTCATAATTTAAAAATTCCGCAAATA